TATATATATATACCATGATACAAAATAAATCTTGTGAAGAGTTGTTTGGCTCCAGCAATATGTTCCATAGCATTATTTGAGAAAATTGATTTTTGTATGATTAAATTCTTGGATGACATAGTTTAAGCAATAAAAAAGGTACTTACTTGGCTATAAAGTAGAATGACAATTTATTTGAATAACCCCAACAAAAAAAGACTTACTGTTCATTTTCTTTAATATAATTGTCGAGAACAGTATCAGATACGTATACACCATTTTTGTCAAACGAATTTAATGGAGTAATAATTTCAACTTCAACATTTTGACAACCGCTTAGCACCTATTAAATAAAGAGGTTGCTTTACAAAATTGAAAATGATTTTAGTTAAAAAGGCAAAATGAAGAAATCTTCATACTTCTGCTATTGAATATCCACTACGTTTCGCCTCAATCCACAAATGAATCTTTGTTGGAGGTTCTTCAATTGGGTCAATTAGTCGAGTCCTTGACATATGCATCAGCTCTTCACCAGTATCCATATCATTATTGCGACGAACATTGTAGCACCCCAAAAATTGCAGTGATGCGTCACGATCGTCAAATCCTAACAGCTGGACAAATTTGTCCACCGGATACTGTAAAAATGTAGAAGAATTAGTAGACACTGAAATAGTTTTTTCCATCCAAAAATATTTGAGAAATTTTTATAATTAAAAAAAAAAATGATAGGAAACTGACCTTCCCCATTATGTGAACCGAGCGTGATATAGCATACATTGCCTGATGACGCATACGATTGAAAAATCGGTGACAAAGGCAGCACTATAACAAAGTAATGATTTATCGATACATGCCCATTTATAGCTTTGATAAATAAATTATTATAAAAACCTGTAAATAAGTAGCGTCGTTCCTCAACAATCGGAAAAAGCGAACATAATTTTGGTTCTGTAAACAAGTAAATAGACGAATCGCTAATCGGACCGAACTTGATTCTAGAATTTCTCTTCGATATGTCAGTGCTTGTCTGAAAGTTTATTTAAGTTTTGAAGCTTAAAATGCTTGAAATCCCATGAAAGAAAACAAAAAAAAAATGATTGAAAAATAAAGCATTGGTGTAGTAATTGAATATTTGTAGCGTGTTTCCTGGAAATATCAAGACTTTATGCGGGAGAAATTTTACATCAGCTTTCCAAAGACAGCATACTATGAAAATTATCAAATTATTCTTTCTAACTTATTCGTTGACTAGAGTATTATCAAACTGGATTGGAGCACTATTTGACTAGAGTATCATCAAACTGGATTAGAGACCTAGTGTGTCCTTTCTCAATTAAAGTGACTAAGATTGGTAGAAAAAATGTTTGCTTTATTTTGCTAATGCCCGACCATGTACAGAGAAAATAGATTAGAAGTCTGCTAAAAAAAAATTCTAAACAAAAATTAGTCATCTAAGAATGGAAAAGACATGGAAAACAGTCAGTGAAAACAAATCCTTTCCTAGCATTTCGCATTATTAAATAACTGAAATCTCTAAAATCAATGCGGTAGATTTTACCGGAATACATTGGAATCCGAGAGATTAAGCATAATTTCATAAGCCCGAAATTCTGCTTCACTGGCATAAAAGATTCCTTTCTTCGCCAAATCGTCATACAAATAACGTAAGCTTTGCAAGCTTTTAGATAAATTTTCTGAAATTGGAAAATTTAGCTTCTTGAGAGAAATTTTCTTATGAACATTTTGAAATCCGGATAACAACGTTCAAATTCTCTATTTATTCGTCGTAGCTGAAAGTTCTCTATTTATTCTCGCAAGTATAAAAATAGAATCAAAGATAAATGAAACAATGATAACAACTCATAGTTACGGGTCTCAACAAATCAATAAAAGAGTAGTAAAAAAAAAGCACCTGTATTCATTTTTTGATCGAATTCATTAAAATTCAATTCACAAAGACGATGTGATGCAAAGATATGTAGTCTGACACACTGTTCGATCAGAGTGACAGCAGTTTCGTTAACCATCATTTGCTGCGTTATGTCCTGAAATCCTTCTTTCATCTTCCGTACATTGAAAATAAACGATAATTTCTAATGTGAAGAATTTTTGGATTAGCTCACATCACAGAACTTTTGAAAGCATACATTCTTTAAGCTGTCAAAATTTCTAGTTTTCGAGTTGAGAATGTTTAATAATCTTTTTTTCTTTTTTTTGAGAATGTCTAATCCTCAAAGAAACGTTTAAGAATGAGAATGTTTAAAGAATGTTGAGAATGTTTAATAATTGCCGGTTCAAGAATCAAGTGACAATTCGTATCATACTAATCAAACAGGATAAAAAACTATGAGAAACAATATTTCAAATCAAAAAAAAAAAACCTTTCGGATAGCTCGCGTTCGATTCCACATAAAATCATACCACTGTGCCAATTCTTCATCTGTTTCCGGAACATTATTGGCAATCTGAAATTATCACATACAAGTTTGTATTTAAATGAATGTCTTAAGCATTGCAATTTAAGCTATGAAAATTGATAACTTACTTTTCCGACAAGATAATTCATTGTTCGCTGAAGGACATCTGCGGGTCTAAGCTCATGAGATAGTGGCTCCTCCTGCAAAACAGTTATGCTTATTCAATTCTCTGATTCAGGCCGCTTTTATTATGCTCTCCAGCCCAAGAAAACAATGTGTTTTGAAAGGTGCACAACCCATCATTTCTGAATCTTCCTCCCAATATCTTTTCAGTGTATTTTCCAAATCATTTTTTTCTTTTAGGAAAGGGGAGAAGTTTTCGAAAACTTTAAAGAATGCAAAGAATGCATTGTTACTTGATCAGCTGCACTTCTACTGTATTCCTTCACGGCCAATTCCGGCGCAATACTACCATCATCATGACATTCATATGTACTGAGGCGTTTTTGCACAACTCTCATATAACGTTCTTTTTCTGGACACATATCACGGCAAGAACCCTGAAATAATTCATTTCTTCAACATTCGTCTCCACAAGTCAGGAAAAGCATTGAATGGCAAAGGAATTACCATAGATTGAAAAGAATTAGTGGACTATTTTCGTAGATTCATACTCAACAAAAAAACCAAATTTACTTTTGACTTCCAATAAGCATTTATTTATGATATAGTACTACTAGTGATAGAGATATTGATCAGTTGAAATTTCCAAGACTTTTAGAGAACTTCGCTTCTAAAAATCTTCGAAATTTCATTTTTCTTTTTAACAGAGTATTTTCTCTAATTCTACAACATATTTGCAGTTTCACAATTAAATACGTATGTAATCTTTAATTCTTCTTTTCTTAAATTAGTTTTAGAAACTTTCGAGTTATCTATTTACCTGCATAACAGTTGCATTGTCAACATAAGCACTTTTCAAACGCCCTTTATGCATCAAACGATCACGTTCATCTAATAACTGATATTTATCATAATCAGTTTCACAAACTCGTCCGATCATACGTTTTAGCTGCCGTACTAAACACATTAAATTTCAGTCATTTAAAGAATTAACGAAATGTACAGGTATAATGTACAGGTAAAGATCTAACAACCAGTATTGTTTATGTTGCAGAAATGATCTTTTTGAACATTTTTAACAAGCTATATTTGTAAAAAATTTACCAACTGCACCCTTTGGTAGCAGCATTTTTTCAACGGCCGATTCTATCTTTGAATTTTCAATATGCCGTTCCACCTTTGGAACATTTTCTTCCTTAACAGCCGATTCACGCGTCCAGGGTCTTGATTGTTCGACCTGACAAATGAAACAGTTAAATTAAGCCTCTGAGAAATGCTTGTCACAGCAAGTATGTGACTTAATTTACTTCAAAAATTTCTTATAACCTGAAAAAAAGAAATACATACCGTACGAATCATGCTGCTGAATCTATTATCGGCATCACTATGTAAGGTGCCACGAAGTGATGCCTTTAAACGTTTCCCAAGCTGTACACCTCCAAAAAGTGATGATTTTATATTTGTTGAGGACAAATCTTCTGAAACATTTGGGACGTTCTGTGTTGATGACATTCTCTTTCGGACAGCACGTGCAGCACGTGCCACGGAATGACGACCGCTTGCAACCCTTACATCGACTGAACGCTTGAATGGTAAAGATGGACATGTTGATGATGAGGAAGACGGTTCTAAAATTGGAGCATTCACGAAAGTGTAAATTAATATGAAGAAATGATAAAACCAAGGAAATTACTAAATGGCAGGGCCTATTATCTACTCTGTTTAAGCTAATCGTACAAATGCCACGCTAAACCTTTTTATAGAACATGATAACAGCTCGTACCACAGGAATATTTTGCAATAATGGCAAGCTTGATAGCAGATGGGAGGCAAAAATGAAATAAAAAACTGTCATTTCAACAGACTTAATGATTAACCATGTGGATCATCCAAATCGTTATATGCTTTACGTCTTGGTGGAGTATAAGGTTTCCGTGTACCGGATTTCGGTGATGAATTTGATGCCTTTTTTGGTCGCAAACTGGAATACACATATGGACAATAAAATTTGATAACAAGCAGTTTATTCAAGAAACTTATACAATCAAAAATAAATAAAAAACAATCACTTATCGAAGACAGAAAATAATTCAGAAATTCACTATCAGTTAGAATGAAATTCACCAATAGATAAAAACGAAATCTGAAAACCTTTTTCGCTTTTCAAATCACGAATGAATTGAACCTAACGAGAGCAGAAAAGCTAAGTCATTTTACAAAGTTATAAAATACATAGCTCAAATTTATAATACTATTTACCTTTCTATTATTCTAGTACAATTAATAAGTCTCACCTTTCCGGAATTATAAAGGGGAATGAACCAGAAGACATCTTTTCGACGAATATTATGTTTACTTCTTCTTTTATCCAAAACTCACCTTATTTCTGGCATTTATTACATAAGACCATTGTAATTAATCACAATTTGAAAATCAGTTTATATTTTGCTGAAAAAAGTGCAAACAGAAATATTTTAAAATTTATTATACATTATCAAATGTTACAATTTGTGATACATTTCACAAAACAATGAGAATAATGAATGAATACAGCCATAATGGAAGGCCTCGAGAGTTCAGCATGGACGAAAACAACAACGGCACTTCCTCGACCTGTCCATTATGGGCCATGCAATGAATGCTTGCAAAGTGTTGGGATGTTAAATTTGCACGTTCTTTTTTTTTTTTTACCAACACCGTCATCACCGAAGTTTCTGATCAGATCGAAAAGGATATGATCAATAGAAGTGATAAACCACAAAAATACATTACAATAAATTTTATCAGCAATCGGATAAAGCGAATAATTTTGATAAACCAGTTAATTTTGTGTTTCTATTGATAAGCCTAGTCGATTAATCATTTAATCACTATTGCTGATAAGTCTAAGTAGTGAATAATTTTTGTGAACAAGTTTAATCAATAAATCACTTTCATTGATATGTTTGTTCAATCTTATAGCATTATAAAGTAAAATTTGTCATCATTAGTTGCTGCATCGAGAAACTGTTATCACAGCTTGCATTTTCAATATCAATAGATCTCATATTATTATTTACACCTGAATACATAAACAAGTAGTATATGATATCCCATAAAAGAACCGGTTGAAATTTTTTTTTTTTAGTCTATATTATCGTTTTTTGCACGTTAAGTTATGAACAGTTTCGCAATTTTTTTTCTTTTTTAAATTGATGGATTTCTGAATTAATTTGACTTTGTCAGAAATTTGTGAAATTTTTGACACAATAAGAGAAGGTAAAAGTTGGCAAAGTACTCTTTTGCTTTAGTTTTCAAAACAAAAAAAGAACACAAAGATAAATTCAGATACATTGTTATCAGTTGAAGACATTAGAGTGCAACCTGAAATTAAAATCTTCTCTCTGAAGATTACACTGAATGACAAAATAATTGAGGGAACTTTCTTATCAATATTTTGAACTGTATTTTTTACCTCTTATCAATATCTTGAATTATTTATCAAAATATGTTTCAGCAATTTTTAAATTTTCAAAGTGAAAATTTATTCAAATACATCTGAAACATTTTCGGATGTATTTGATAGTAGTAGTTGTATGGTTTACTACTTCATTGACGTTATGCTCGGGTTTCACGCAGTATATTATGTCTGGCGGTCAAGCGTACGGTTTTATAACGGAGCTTTTATTTGATGTTTTCTCTTCGAAAGAACTGCATTGTTTCTACGAAAATTTTCTGCTGTACAGCGATATAAGTATTTCTATTCGAGTAAGTGCCGGATATCAATATTAATGTGAAAAGTACAAAACATTAGGTTAGGAAAAAAAAATATGAAAAAATCATTCTAATATTATTTGTTTACTGCTTCCTTCTAATATCTTTTTAAAATTCGATAGCATTCATCAAAATTTGATTTCTAATTTAAAACTAGTATAGCGAAGTACTGTACTGCTGATTTTTCTGATCAGAAAAGATTTTTTTTTTTTTTGACTAATACTGTTCTTTTTAATATCGAACATCATTTCAGTTATTTTTAATACTCTTGAAATATAAAAAATTTTGGATTTTAGAGTATAAATTGAGCAACTGTGACATTAAAAATTTGAAATACTTGCAAAGTTATTAAAAAACTAAAAAATCATTTTTCTTATCAATGAAGAATTTTCCTTTTCAAATTTATTTTGTAAGAAAAAAAAGACATTTTCAGGCTTTTGATACTGAATCGCAATTGATACATATGCGAATTAGATCACCGAGCAAAAATATTAGTAAGTGGTATGAAGGGATCGATCAAGCGCAATTTGCCGGAATGTTACGCGAAGAAGGTCAATAAATGATTTAGTGATTTGTAAATGACGAGTAACAGGGTCGTACAAATAGCTTTCGCATGCAGAATGGCCAGAATTTTTCGTAAATTATAATCAGACGAGGAATGCATTTTGAATTCGATCATTTTAGGCGTATATGAAATTTGCACGAAAGTAAACTTAGCAAATGCACGACACGTACGTTTAATGTTGGTCATCTACGCTCATCATCGAGGAACAAAGAACAAGGCTGAGAGACTTAAAAAACAACACCATGAATCGACCGAAAATATGAATGTAAGATATTTGTTAAATGGAGAAAAATGAAAGTTTGAAAATTTAAAATTTAAATAGGAATTTTGTATATAATACACATAAATAGTAAAAAAAAAAGTTGGGATTTGTGCTATTGCATAGCGTCATATTCTTGACACAGTAAAAGTTCACCAAAAATTCTTACATTGTATAAAATTGCTTTTTTTTCTTTTTTTTTTTTTTAGATTTCTAATTTAAAATTCAAGAAGTCATTGCAGGAATCAATTAACCGTTTGAGAGAAACGATAACTTCTTCAGCACTTGCACTGAAGCAAATGAAATCAACAAGTGATATACATTTGCAAATTAAAAATGCCAATAACATTGATATGTTTTCGTCAATACAAACAATTGTTATTCTATGCACAGCGGCTGTGCAAATTCTTGTTATTCGAAAATTTTTTTCCAACACTCGCTCTCAAAAATTTGTTGTTATTAAATAGCACAAAGAAAAAAGTATGCGATGCTATATAATTTACAATTTCTTATAGTAATAATAAAGAATATAGCATTGATTTTTCTCTTCGAATAAGCAACGAATTAGCTTCATCATTTGAAATTTCTGAGAATCTTTCCGAGAAACGTAATTATAAAATTTAAAAGACAGAAGAAGGAAAAAAAAAACATTTTCAAGATACTAATAAAACTTTGCGTCTGAGTAATGCTTACTTTCATTTTGATAAAAAGTTCGTTTTCTTAGAAAAGATGAAAGTGAATTAAAATATTTTTAATTGAAGCCAATTTTACCAGTCAATTAATTTTTTTTCCTATGGCAAATAAAATAACATATTGTTTTTCATTATCAGCATTCATTTTTACCAAATATTTTTGATTTTACAAATCATCCGATAGGCAGGAATTATCATTACTATTATTATTATCATTATTTATTTATTCTTATTTTTATTGTTATTACTGGTAGTATTATTGTAATTGCGATTACAATTTTCTTGAACATGACAATGCAACTGTTGAATTGTTGTACGCAATCGGTTTCCTTAGAAGAAATTTCAATTTTCTGTAACGTACGCTCCTACCGCTATCGTTACCAACATTAATATAATTATTGATACCATTATTATTATGATTATCATTACTATAAATCACGTCATTTGTTTGAAATTTTCAAAATTTCTACTTTTTTGGACTTATTTTATTAGAGGAAAAAAAAACGGACATATTGCACATGCAATTACGCATGCTTATCAAAAATCTGCATATCGGAAAATTTTATATATTTTTATTAATTCATAATAGTCCATTAATTTCCCTGTTCAATGCATATATTAGAAGCTGTAACAGAGTCATAATAATTTCATAAAATACAATATCTTAAAAAGGATATACATATATATGTCTACATATAAATATAATGCATTGTTTTAGCTTTTGTTAAGAGAATGCTGTTGCTAACGATTCCTGAAGCAAACATTATTTTTATGTACTTTATTTCCAAAGTAAAATGTATGCCTGAGTTTTCCCATTTTTTTTTTCTCTCAAAAATATACTTTGTCATTTTTTCTTTTGCTGTATTTCTTTGAATACTCTCGCAATACTTCTATTCCAAATAAAGTTCGTATTTCAGACAAAATAGGAAAAAGCACTTTACGAAAAAGATTAAATAGTAATGCATTTGATTAATAAATGATTAATAAAAGTTTCGAAATTGGGATTTTCCCTTTGTTTAATCAATTTACATGAAATTTATTTTTTGCGAATGCAAAATAGCATTAATTATGGACTTTGTTTGACGTTAGGATCCGTGTTTATAATAGAAAATAATTTAGTGTTTCGTGACACTTTAAAACGTTATATGCAGGATTTTTTTTAAAGAAAAGACAATGTATTTTGCAGATTTTTTAAAATTAATAATTGTATTGAATGAGGGTTTCCCATTTATATTATGTTGATATAAATGTTATCAGCGACAAAACAATTACCTTACATTATTGTTACTAGCACTATCAGCATGATATCATCGCATCTTACGCGATAAAATTACATCAATAATATCAGAATGTTAAATTTTGATAAAACTGTATGATAATATGAATAAAATGCGCTTCATAGAAATTGATATTAAAAAAGAAATCACAGTATATGATATTAAACAATAGGTAAGTAAAGGAAGCACTTTGTATTTCAGATAGCTTTTTTTTGGCTGAATATGATGATATCAAAAACGTGATTTTTTTTTAAAATTTTGAGGAAAATTTTAGCAATATATTTGAAATGATATATTTAAAATTTTAGGCAAAATAAGTAAAAATTAATAATATGTAAAATACATAATGAAATTTCTAAATTTTTTTACTTTTTGTTAAAACTCATAAAAATTTTTTTCCTTTTTTTGGGACAAATGAAAGATAACAAAGTAAAGTAATAACAAGTATTAACTGTGATTCCCTTTTTCAATTTTAATCTCTTTGATATTATGCTGATATTTTGATAATCAAGCATTTCATTTTTTTTTCTTATCCTTTCTTTTTTGTCCTCTTCTTTTCTCCCAAACTAATAATATGGCATCATTCTTGTTGTTTGATTCCTGTTTTTATTTTAACTTCAATAAATTCATTTTTCGTTATTCATTTAAATTAAACTTTAATCATCCTTGCATCACAACCTTCTTTTATCATCCT